AGCAGAGTCTCAGGGTTGGGTTTTAAAAAGCCACATCCTGTGGTCAAATACAGACGTCTAAGGAGAGACAGCTCTTTCCAGAGGAGGTGATTTTAGCTGTCAAATCAATATTTCCTGGTGGATTTGCTTTCCCTTTCACAATCCTCCCAAATATGTCACTTTATAATGTATGTTTCTTAGGATTTCTATATGGAGTTCTCTAATTCAGCCAGGGGAATGGGTCAGCAGAAAATCTTTCTGAGACTATATTAGCATCATTGTTTTACAAGGATGTGGATGAAGTTTCCTGCAGGTGATGTGTCACATTATAAAGAGACACAGCAGTAGATAAAACTATACCCAGTGCCCACTCTCTATCCTCTCCCTCCTATCTACAGCAGTGAACATCAACATTGAGAAAATTACTATTATCATCCACCAACACCTGTACTCTTGCTACTTCTGGCAACATCTGATTCAGGCTTATCCTGTGATTTGGATGGAATTGTGCCTCCCTGCCACCATTAAAAATCATATTTTGAGGGGCTGGGGATGTATAGCATCCCCAGTGGTAGCATGCTCACCTAGCATGCATGAGGCACTGGGTTCAATTCTCAGCACCATATAAAAATAAAATAAAGATACTGTGTCCACCTGAAACTAAAAAAAAAAATATTTTAAAAATCATATTTTGAGGCCCTAGCCACCCAGAAACTTAGAATGTGGCCACATTTGGAGACAGTGCCTTTAAAAAAGTAATTAAAGCAAAATGAGGTCATATAGTAGGCCTTAATCCAGTATGACTGTGTCCTTATAAAAAGGAGGGACAGTAGGGATGCATGCATGGGGAAAAACTAAGTGAGGACTCAAAGAAAAGGCAATAATCTGCAAACCAAGGAGAGAGGCCTTAGGATAAATCAACCCTGGTGACACCATAATCCTGGCTGCAATGAGCTGAATTGTTGCTTCCAAATTCACGTTCTGAAATCCTAACTCCAAGCTAATGGTATTGGAACGTGGGCTTTTAGGAGGAGATTAGGTGATTAGCCCTTTCAACCTGATATTGATAAAGCTAGAAAAGTACCATATAAGAATCAAAAGTTGGTCCAAGTTGTTTGATCCTGGACTTGATCTTGGACTTCCTAATCTCCAGAACTGTGAGAAATAAATTTCTGTTAAGTCACAGTCTGTGGTATTTGTTAGGTGGCCCGAGCTGACGACAATGATCAAAACACTGACTCATTTGCTCATCAAGCATCTGCCAAATGCCTACTATGTGCAAAGCACTGATTAGGCACTGTGGACAGACAAAAGTGACCTTCAGCACCTTGCAACATAAGGGAGAATGACATAGCACAAACAGATTTGTCATACAGCAGAATGCAATCTTGGCATAATGCATTACAACTCTTGTTATAAAAATGTAAATTTGTTCCAATTTGACTAATACAGTAGGGAGTAATGTATCTGAGCATGGTATTAATTTTGTGTTTGCTGTGAGAGATACTAGATGAACACAAAAATTGCCCAACTGAACCAAACCACACAAAATGCACATAACACAGACCTCTACCAGCTCAGCTCACATCCTGATATAAGCTACACTCGTCTTAATTTGATGTTAAAAATCTCCCTCTGGTTTTATACAACTGTCCTTTAAGATAACACACAAGTGGCAACACCTTCTAAGACCCACTTCCGCAAGCAAATTTTGGGTCACTTTCAAGATTAAGTGCTATATTTAGTAATCTTCATAAATTTCTTAATCATTTAGCATGTAAAGCTGTGCTAGCATTTTTTATAGGTTCCTTTCTTTGCTTTCATCTGCCATTGTCAAATTATTGAATGTTATATTCCTAACCCTCTTTCCTCCCATGAGCCCTTAAGTTTTTATTGCACTCTTCTGAATATTGCAGTGATTTCTTAGAAAGACTGCATGTGTTAGATTATAGCGGAACAGACTATATTTTAATAAAAAACTATATTTCAGGTAACTAAGGCCTGGGTAGT